GATTAGGACCATTCGCATCTAAGAACAATGATGAGATGATTAGAACCAATCACAATGAGGGGGAGGCCTCAGAACAAATGACGTGGTGATCAGAACCAACCACATTAAGACTGAGGTCATAGAACAAATAACATGGTGATCAAAACGAAGTCAAAGAGAGGTCTCAGAATGAATTATGTGGTGATTAGAACCAATCACAGTAAGTGGGAGGCCTCAGAACGAATGACATGGTGATTGGAACCAGTCACAGTCAGGTGGAGGCATCAGAATGAATGTTGTGGTGATTAGGACGAATCACACTCAGGGGGAGGACTCAGAATTAACGACATGGTGATTAGAATCAATCACAGTCAAAAAGGGGGTCTTAGATTAAATGATGTGGTGATTAGAACCAATCACAGTCAGGGGGAGTTCTCAGAACAAATGCTGTGATGATTAGAACCAAACACAGTCAGGGGAGGCCTCAGAATGAATGTTGTGGTGATTACAACCAATCACACTCAGGGGGAGGTCTCAGAATGAATGACATGGTGATTAGAACCAATCACAGTCAAAGGGAGGTCTCAGAACAAATGCTGTGGTGATTAGAACCAATCACAGTCGGGGGAGGTCTCAGAATGAATGACGGTGATTAGAACCAATCACAGTAAGGGTGAGGTCTCAGAACAAATGCTGTGGTGATTAGAACCAATCACAGTCAGGGTGAGGTCTCAAATCAAATGCTGTGGTGATTAGAACCAATCACAGTCAGGGTGAGGTCTCAGAACAAATGCTGTGGTTATTAGAATCAATTACAGTAAGAGTGAGGTCTCAAATCAAATGCTGTGGTGATTAGAACCAATCACAGTCAAGGTGAGGTCTCAGAACAAATGCTGTGATGATTAAAACCAATCACAGTCAGGGTGAGGTCTCAGATCAAATGCTGTGATGATTAAAACCAATCACAGTCAGGGTGAGGTCTCAGATCAAATGCTGTGATGATTAGAACCAATCACAGTCAGGGTGAGGTCTCAGATCAAATGCTGTGGTTATTAGAAACAATCACAGTAAGAGTGAGTCTCAGAACGAATGTGATTAGAACTTGACTACTGGTGAAAAGCTTGAGGATGACTAATGAAAACTGTATGTCAACAGACAGGCTACAGCAAGGTGGAGCGAGAAGGTAGGGGTTTCTAATAAAGTGGCCAGGTTTACTGTCAGTAGAACCAATAATGTTATTCCAGTGGATTAAATAGATGTTACATCACAATAGCAAATAACTAACTTGTGGGTGGAGAAAGCTGGCAGTTCTGCATTGATACAGCAGGACTTGGTACTGATGTACTAATTATATAATCCTTGTACTAATTCTGAGAGTTATTAACCAAGATAGTGGAAAAAGAGAACTTTTTAAAACTCATCCTCCCAGGTCAATAACTTCACAACTTTTTGTGATTAATTCTTGTTATATAATTATGAACTTGTTACAGCCGCACATTTCATAGCAGGGTTTAATGAAGCCTTCACTTTGTAAGGTTTTTATCTGTAAAAAACAACAATGGACCCCAAAATGAACTGAAACTAAATGTACCATCCCTGATAGCGAGCGTATATTGGTCCGCTGGCTTGATAAGGTTGGCACCCCGCTGTTTGCCACTCCTGGTCCACCCTCAGACCACCCAGATTACTGTCCTGCATACAAGCTTTAACTAGTTCTTAATCTCCTCAAACAGGTTTTAAATGCACAGAGACGTTTATTTTAGAAAATAAACTTAGACAAATATTACAAACAACTGAGAGAAAAAAAGTAAGACTAGGCCTGATATAGAATGATTTTATAGAAAATGTTGTTACTGACACTGAGCTGGATTAAAATTATTTACTAAACTAATTTACAAAGTATAACTAAAGAAAGGAAGGAAGGAAAAATCGGTAAATTCAACTGTGAGGGAAAAATGAGCAATGAAAAGTGGAATTTTGTCTAATACTCTGCTTAACTGCCAGTGGGCCGCCCAGTAAACGCTGAGCAAAATGCCGGTGGGCCTCCAGCTTTGCCATTAGCGGGCCGACAGTGGTCCACTATCCTCTTGCTATAAGGGATTCATTTCCCACCTGTGTGAGATTCAGCTGGAGCCATTATAATAACCACAGCTTTCGATTTAATAGTGTTTTTGGTCTACTTTGGCTAATTAGCTAGCGACCCTGCTTGGAAGCTAGCTTATTGACTGAAATGATATGGTGTTCAGCACTACTTTGCACACACACACACACAAAAGTCCACATTTACACAGAATCAGGCGCAGAATTAAGCAAAGCTGTTATTTTCCTCTGCTGAGAGAGAAAACATGAGCAAAAACACTCATTTTGTGGCCTTTAGCGTATATGCTAACAGTGTTAGCTGCTTAACTAGCTTATGTCGCTAGTTAACTAAAAAAATAGCATCAGGATATCAACATACAATCCTAGTTCCCATTGTGGTGCACTTACTGGTGATGTAGAAGCGCTTGGCAACTTTATCTTCATCTGGAAGAGTCAAGAATGCGCTAAATTGTCGTTAGCTTTAGCTGTGAGTGTCAACAACCATAGAGGATCCCTCAGCATGATTAATACTGTTTATAGCAGCTCTGTCTGCTTTAAAAGCTGGAAAAATGTGAGTAAAATCATTCAAATACTTGGAAACATTTGACATTACAACCTCAAACACAACATAATTTTACTGTTATTGCCAAGGTTTGGTCTGTTTTGTTTGTATTTGTTGTAAACTCTGTGGTAAATTGAGTTAGCTTCAATGCTAACTGCATGTGAGTATCCATCTGGAAGCCAAGCATTGTGCTTACAGGCACACTGATATGGTCTGTACAGTTATTATCAGATTAACACATTTTGTTTTTTGTTGAATAACTTTGAAAATATTTAAGAAGGGATAATCATGTTTGTATACAAGCAACATATACTTATCTGCTACAAACGAACACTTGAACTTTGTTTCTAGCACCTACCGTTCATGTAGTCCACCCAAAATGACTGGAAGGGTAATGTTATAGTTTAGCCCATGGGTGGGTTCACTGTAACCGACAGAGGGTCAGTTTAACACTCGGTAGAAAAGTCTGATGAATTAGTGTAAACAAAGTTAATTCAATATCATTCTATGTAGTAAGAAACAAATATATTTCCCAGTTGCTTTATATATTTCTATCTATAAGACAGACAGCTTATACAGATAATATGTATACATATTACAGAGATACATAATCAAATAATATATGAAAACTGACAAGAAACTGTGTCACACAATGACAAATTTATTTTCTATCCAGTGTAGGAAAATAAAAACATCACACATCAGTATAATATGGAGCTCTACCAACTGTTAAGGTCAATTTCATTAACGTACTTATTCAAAACCAAAATAATGACGTCTGAAAGATACTAATAAAGTAGAAGAAAATCCCTGTTGTCAGATGTTTTCTCTCTTTTTCATCTTAAAATCTATGTGGAACAAAAAGAGAAAATTTACATTATTTGTCTTTGTTTACTAACGGTGGCTTAGTTGTAATGCTGTGTAACAGCTAACAGAGGCTGAACTTAAGCCCAGCTAGCGCTTGTTGTGAGCTTGTCAGCTGCTTTAAGATTGATTAAAGTATTATAAGGTCAAATTACGTGATTTACACAAACAGCTCAGTAACTTGACCTACTTTAACAACGTAAAAAGTTTGTGTTAATTTGTGCCCCACGTTATGTGTTCCCCTCGCTCCCCTACTTATTTATTGCTTGTAGCTCATTGAGTGTGTTTACCTGCCCTTAATAATCTGATCATAATCAGATTTCTGCATTCTCATTATTCAAATGGTCATGTAAACAGCACCCTCTGATTTCTAACATCAGTGTAAAGTCTAGAAATCCGATTAGGAAATCCAATAAAGAGAGCCGGATTTTAGCTCACCAATCAGATTTCTCAGTGCGTGTGAACTCTTACTCTGATTTCTTTCAGATTTCTTAGTCTGAGCGTGTGCAAAAACAGACTGCGATACCGGAAATAAGCATACAGTGTTGCTGCGAGACTCAGCAAAACACTTTTAAAGCGACACTAAAATAAACTACATGCTTGACAAAATGAAGGATTTAAATTTTTCTTAATTTCTAGATGATGTATGTTCATATTTTCAGGTAAAGTGGCGCAAGGTTTAAAAAAAAGCTGCTGCATGAAGTTTGAGTTTTACGTTACATTCACGCCACGTCTTCTGTGAATTTATTGGCTGGTTGCAAAGCAGAAATCCAATTACTGCCTGACTTGTGTAGACTCAGAATTTTCCATTATCTGATTACTCAAGTGCAAAAACGTAAATAGAATGTAAATGCATTTCAGTACAACTTGCTGATTAACAGAGTCTTTATTTAATGTTTAGCAAAACAATATCAATAATAATCAGTGCTAACTCTATTATTCTACTATTTAGGGCTGCATTTATTATTATTACGAATATGAGGACTGTTTTTATTATTAAATATTCTTCGCAATGCTGGCTTGCATCTTTGAATACATATTTCATAACTTTAATCAATAAAGTAAGTAGAATACGGTATCTTTTTGAATAAAAACTTTTTAAACCTCATCCGGCTAAAAAAAATGATTTGACCATTTTGGAAAAATTTTTCAAAATTTCAAATATCAAAATTTCCAAATTTGATCGAAAACATTTTTCAGTCCCAGTTACAGTGTTATTTTGGCATCCTGTATAAATATAAATATTGTGTGAGATCAAGTTGTGGCCATAAAATAGGATCTCGTTCCCACACCTTACTAAGTTGTGGCCATGACTTAATTATCTTGTTCCCACGACTTACTTAAGTCGTAGCCACGCATTATTTTTTATTTATACAGGATGCCACCAGCGGGGCTCCGTAAGAGAGAAAAGGCGAGAAACATTGACCCTCACTGGAGTAAACGGAGGGCTTTAGGACCCTGAGCGTTAACAAACACTGGAACTCTGACTTGATGCAGAGAGAGACAGAGAGTGAGAGAGAGAGAGAGAGGAGAAGAGAGGAGAGAGCGCGCGTGTGGTCAGTGTGTTCTCCGCTCTCTTGTACAGCGCACGCGGCCGTGTGTGTATGTGTGAGTGTGTGTGTATGAGGGAGTGTGTGTGTGTGTGTGTCTCGCTCCGGACTCCTTCGCGTCTTCGTTCCGAGCTGTGAGCCGGCAGGTGGGAATGACATGAGCACCCATGAGAGGAAAAGAGGGAGAGACGTGTAAGAGCACACACACACACTCTCACACACACTCACTCTCACACACACACACTCTCACACACTCTCACACACTCACTCTCACACACACACACTCACTCTCACACACACACACTCTCACACACTCACTCTCTCTCACACACACACACACACACACACACACACAAATAAGGGGGCAAAGCGGGGCTTCCAGAGCAGTTTGGACTACTTAGCTTTGTGTGTGTGTGTGTGTGTGTGTGTGTGTGTGTACATACCTGTGAGTGAGAGAGAGAGAGTGTGTGTGTGTGTGTGTGTGTGTGTGAGAGAGAGAGAGAGATAAACACACACACGCGCTCTGCGCGCGGAGCAGAGGCAGACAGCAGTGGAGTGTGTGGAGAGTGTGTGTGTGAGGCAGAAGCGCGCTCGTCCACTCTCGCGGTCAGCATGGTGCTCCTGCAGCTCGCGCTCATTGCACTCGTTTATCTTTTCAGACGAGGACAGCAGGTCTTCCTGAGAGCCGAAGAGCCGCCCGCCCTCTCCACCACCGTACAGGTAGGACTCTCTCTCTCTCTCTCTCTCTCTCTCTCTGACATTGTTTCTCTGTTTGTCTCTTTCTTTTCTCTTTCTCTTGTTCTCAACTCTTTCTTCTCTCTCTGTGATTTCTTGTGTCAGTTTTGTTATTGTTGTTTATCTTCCTCTCTCTCTCTTTCTCTATCTCTCTTTCTTTCTTTTTCTTTGCCTCTCTGAACTCTTTCTGTTTCTCTTTCTGTTCACTGTATTGATTTTGTTAAAGCTGTTTTCCTCTCTCTCCCTTTCTCTCTTCTCTTCTCTTCTCTTCTCTCTCTCTCTTGCTCCCCTTTTCTTCTCTCTCGCTCTTTCCCTTTATCTCTCTCTCTCACTTCTCAGTCTTTTTAACCAGCTGTCTCTCTTTTCTCTCTTTCTTTCTCTCTCCCTCTCTCTCTCTCTCTCTCTCTCTCTCTCTCCGTCTCTCGGACACGTGTGATGTGATTTCTCTCTGCGCTGTGATGACAGCTCTCTCTACTTTTTCTCTCTTATCTTTCTTCTCAAACTCTGCTTCCTCACTCCGTCTGTCTCTTTTACCCCTTTCTGTCCTCTCCACACACAAACACACACACACACAAACACACACACAAACACACACACACACACACAAACACACACACACACACACACACACACACACACAGATGTTGTGTTACGTGTGCTCTTTTTATATGTTCCACCTGCCGGGAAGGTCAAAAAAACCACAAAGGAATAGAGAGAACGAGGGAGAGAGAGGAAGACAGGTGGAGGACAGAACAAACGTACAGAACGAGAGAGAGGGTGGGTGAGAGAGAGAGAGAGAGACAGGTGGAGGATAGAGCAAACAGAGAGAAAGAAAAGAGAAGGATGGAACAAATGGACGCAGAGAGAGGTGTAGGACAAAACAAACAAACAGAAAGAGAGAGAATAGATAAACAGAGAAAGAATAGACAGACAGAGGGAGACAGAGAGAGAAAGAGATGGAGAAGAGAACAGAGAGAGAGGTAGAGGGACAGAGAGAGAGAGAGAGAGAGAGCACGCTGACAGTATAGTGTCAGCAGTGGTGCTGAAATGTAAATAGACAAAATATCAATATTAAACTATATGGTGAAAATAATGCTTATGATTCTTTTGCCATCACCACAAAGTGACTTTGAAACTTCAGTTTACACTGCGTGAGCATTTCATGACGAACGGACCAATAGAAACGATCCTGAATGAAAACAAAGTTAAATCATTTTTAAAAGCCTACGTTAAAGCTCCTGCACCGTGATCGATTCAGAGGTGTGAGGCTCTGACAGACTGCAATGATATGCAACGCTAAATGTGTGTGGTGACCTGGGCATGCATGTGTGTGTGTGTTGACTGATTAATAGAGTGATATATGATAGAGAGAGAGAGAGAGAGAGAGAGAGAGAGAGAGAGAGAGATTTGAAAGGTTCTGGGACATTTCCGGGATCTAACGGGCTGGTGTGTTTTGTTGGTTTGCTGATGCTGTGCACTGATCAGTGTTTATGAGTGTGTGTGTGTGTGTGTGTGTGTGTGTGTGTGTGTGGGTGTATGAGTGTGTGTGTGAGGGATGCACAATGATATCGGAGTCATATCGCTATTGGCAGGTAAAAATATGATCAGTATGCACAGATGTTTAGATTTCACTGATATTCTAAACTGATATTTGACTATGTATTAATTTTACTCCAGAAGACCCCAACGTTTATGATTCTGGTCCACTGTGCTAACATATCTACATTTTATTCATTTTACTTCATTCATAAACCTACACTGTAAAAAAATTACTGTAAATTTACAGTTAATTACTGGCATTACTTATACAGTCAATTTACATAACAGTAAAAAAAAAATAAAAATGACAGTAAATCACTGGCTACTGGTGACATTATCTTTACAGTCAATTTACCGCACCATATTAACAGGATATAATTAAATTTATGGTAAATTACTGGCTTCTAGTGATATTATTTTTACAGTCAATTTACAGAACTATATTAACAGTAAATGACTAAATTACTAGTTGCATTACTTTTACATTTAATTTATAGAACCGTATTACCAGTAAAAAAAAAATACGTTAAATTACTGGCTGCTAGTTACACTACTTTTACAGTTAATTTACTGAACCGTATTATCAGTAAATAACAGTCCACACTCACCTGCACCACACGATTACTGTGATGTAGCTGCTGTACACTTACAGTAATAAGCTGTAATTAAAATACAGTAATAACCTGTATTTTTACCTTACATCTGTAAAAGAAATGCAACAAATGTAAATGTACATATGAAAAAAATGACACACACTTCTAAAGTTGTTGATTCTAAATATGTTGCATTATGTTTACATTTAATTTTACAGGAGCTATAAATATATTAAAAATAATAAAAAAATATGTCAAGAAACATTTGTTTACCATTTTTTGCACTGTAAATACACAAAAGTTAGCATATTTAAAATGCAAATATATTTAATATTTAACAGATATTTGAACTTATATCTGGCAAGATCAGTAAACAATAATATTTTTGTCAATATCTCAGTGTTCCAGCATTTGAACTATCAAAAAAAGCAAACAAACACAAAAATACAGAATTTTTTAAAAGTCTTTAAGGTCTTTAAATATAATTTAGAAAAGCAAAGCTGATTGGCTGCCCTGTATCGTGTAGCAGTCCTGGCTGAAACACTCCTTATAATTTCAGTGTGAGTGGGCAGAGCTAAACTGCTGAAGGCTGCGGCTTAGGGTCCATAGATGGATTTTAATGATGTTATTTGTATTTATTAGAATGTTAGTGTTTTTCTGAGGAAACAAATAAAACGCTGTTGTCGGAACAAAACCTTGTATCTTCATTTTTGTCGTTTTTCAGTTTTTGACATAATTTGAAAATGCCTGTTGTTCTTTACATTGTGTGTAAATTTCAAGATAAATGGACCAAGGGAAACGGCCCAAAATTACTTGGAAAAAAGTCTGGTTCCATTGACTTACATTAAAAGTAAAGTATGTTTTTTCCTTCTCCTGTAAAATTATCATTTTGGAGATACAAGGTTTTGTTCCAACAACAGCGAAATGCTTTTTTAAATATAATTTTATCAGACACCTAAAACTTTTGCACATTACTATACGTCCGAAACTAAAGGTACTGAACCCCAGCGACACTTTAGTGCCTTTTTTTCGCAGAGTGTATCAGAATAAGAAGCTACAGAAGTGAAAAATGTTGCATATAAGCATTGGCTAACGATTCCTGCCAGTACGTCCCCATTAATACAGCGACTATCGTTGCTGTCGTGCCAAAACCGTGTATCTCAATTAGTTGCCCTTTTTTACTTTTTTACATAACGTGAAAGTGCAAGCTGCATTTTGTACTCTGTCAAAATTTCATGATGAACGGACCAACAGAAATGGTCACAAATGACATGTAAAAAATATTTTTTACATTAATTTCTATTACAAGTTTAGAACTTTTTACCTTCTCCTGTAAAGTTCCCATTTTGGAGATGCGAGATATTTTGTGCCATAAGTTTTGTTCTTTTGGTGTGTCATATTGATTAGATTCTGCTTTGATTGACAGGTAGGTGCGCTAAAGGTGGTGAGAGTGTCTTGCACAGGGATTTGGAGGTGTTTGTGTGAGTCAGAGAGAGAGAGACAGAGAGAGAGAGACCTAGAGACGGAGATAAAATCTCAGTTGGCAGTTTGTCAGTCAGAATGCTGAAGGCTTAGATTAAAATGTCACCATACAATTTCTCTCTCTCTCTCTCTCTCTCTCCCTCCCTCTCTCTCTCTTTCTCCCTCTCTTTCATCTTCAAACTTCCCTGATCCCGAAATAACCCACTAGAACCCCTTATTTGGGAATTCAGAAAGCCAGGTTGCAGCTGTATGTGTATGAATAGCACACCGGTGTAAAGAGGCTTTGAGAAAAAGACAAACAGAGCTTTGCCTGTTATTACCATCACAGATACATATCTCTCTCTCTCTCTCTCTCTCTCTCTCTCTGCTCTGCCTTTTTGTTCTCACTCTGTTATGATCTTGCCAAATGATTTACAATTTTAAAGCATTAAATCTAAAATAGGCTGTGAGTGTGTGTGTGTGTGTGATAGGTGAAAGGAGAGTGTTCTCAGCTTGTTTACATCTTTATTCTCTTTCTCTCTCGCTGTGTGTGTGAGAGAGAGAGTCTGTTCTTTTTGGCAGCATCATGTGAAAATCTTGGCAACAGTCAATTTATATGTGTGTGTGTGTCTGTGCGTGTGTGCGTGTGTGTGTGTGTCTGTGTGCGTGTGTGTGTGTGTCTGTGTGCGTGTGTGTGTGTGTGTGTGTGTGTGTTGGGGGGTGTGGTGGTAGTGTGCATGTCCACAAAGCGCAAGCCAATGATAATCTCATCAACACACTGACCACTGTCAATACATTTAATCAGCCACAGTACTTTAAACACACACACACATTTGTTTCTGTGGATTCTGGGGACATTGCATAGACTTCCATTAATTTCCTGGAGACTTACCCAAACCCTAACCAAACCTTAGCCTACCACTAGCCTAAACCTAAAGCCAAGCCCTAAATTTAACCTCACCTTAAAACTTGCTTTCATCTTAAAATTTAATGGTTTACTTTGTGAGGACCAGCTTGGGGTCCCCACAAGGATGAAAGGTCCCCACAACATGCCACAGTGTGTAATAAACCTGGTATACACACACTGTTTTGTTTTGAGACTATGTATATAATAATATCTGCTTTATGTATTAGATATATTGAAGTCTCTATATTTAATATTAACAAATCCATATGTATTATATGTATATCGCTGCTGTCTCAACAAAACCTCGTATCTTCAAAATACTTCAAAAAACCTTTACAGGAGAAGGAAAAAAACTACTTCACTTTTAATGTAAGTCAATGGAACCAGACTTTTTTCCTTAGTAATTCTGGGCCGTTTCTGTTGGTCAATTTTCAGGAAATTTACACACAATGTAAAGGACAACTGGCATTTTCAAATTATGTCAA